CCCAGATTAACTGTTTTTCTTTTTTTTTTTTTGAGACCGAGTGTTGCTCTTGCTGCCAAGGCTGGAGTGCAATGGCACCAGCACCATCTCAGCTCACTGCAACCTCCGCCCCCCGTGTTCAAGTGATTTTCTTGCCTCCGCCTCCTGAGTAGCTGGGATTACAGGTATGCACCACCACACCTGGCTAATTTTTATATTTTTAGTAGAGACAGGGTTTCTCCATGTCAGGCTGGTCTTGAACTCCCGACCTCAGGTGATCCGCCCGCCTCGACCTCCTGAAGTGTTGGGATTACAGGCTTGAGCCACCGCGCCCAGCCCCAGCTTAACTATTTTTAAGTGTACAGTTCATTGGCGTTAACTACATTCACACTGCTGTACAACCATCACCACCATCCATCTTCTGTCTGAATAATATTTTCACTTTTCCAGACTGAAACTCTGTATCCATTAAGCATTAACTCCTCATTCCCCTGTGCCCTCATCCCCATAGTAACCACTATTCAACTTTCTGTCTTTCTAGAGCAAAGGTAGTTTAAATACACATACACTTGGAGGAAAGCTTGATTTATATTTTCAATAATTCACTGACTTAGACAAGAAGGATTCTAACAGTTTAGGGGATTTGATGCTTTGTGGGTGGATATTGGGGGATTTCCTTCTACAGTTTACCAAAGGTCATCACCCAAATTCCCTACCCCTGACTGGAGCTCAGGGTTCCAGACAATCAGATGGTCCAGTCTCCCCAAGCCTCAGCTCTTGGGATAGGAGGCCCCTGGAAGTACAGGGGCCAGCGGATTGGCAGAGGCTGCTCGAAGAGAGGGATCGCTGCTGCTGTGCACCCCAGCCCCACCTGTCCTTCCAGATTGAGTAGAGGCGCTCAGGTCCCTGAGTGTCAGAACCTGGGCTAGCCTAGTCAACTCAGCTCAGTTCACAGTGAGGGCTGAGAAGAATGCTAGCTCCTGGCTGCAGGTTCTCCCAGGGAGGAAGCCAACAGTGATACCAACAGTTTGATTCATACAATCCCTTCATCTGCGTCTGCATCCACTTGGTTTCTCTCACGTGGGATCAGGCCTTACTCGCTTCATTTTATGGATGGACAAATGAAGGCAGTGGGCAGTTAGGTGGCTGCTCAGGTCACGCAGGGGCCACTCGTGGGACCTGGCGTCTGGTTCCCGGGGCCCGGGCGTGGGAGTGGGGTGGGGACAGCCCAGTTGGCACTGACCGTCTATGATCAGCGAAGCCCTCTGGGTGGGTTTCTTTCCAGACTTGATGCGGTTCTCATTGATCGCATTTTCAATCTCTTGCAGTTTCTTCAGTGCATTCAGATACGAGGTTTTCCTTTGTTTCTTCAGTTTTTTGCTGACATTGGGATCACTGGCTAGGCGGCGGGCAGCCTCTGTAATCTGGGACTGAATGGCAAACTCTCGTTCCAGGCGTTCCAGCTCAGCTTCCTGTGGGAGGGAAAGCGCCGGTTTGTGTTACTGGGGATGCTGAGCAGGGAAGACACTCATCCTCCCCTCCTCAAGGTTCCTGTCCCCTCCCCAAGGCAAGCTCAGTTCCTTGGGAGACACTCTTAAAAGTAGCTCCACTCCCAAAAATCTTCACCCACTGAAGTCCCCAGACACACCCACTGTTGTAACCCTTGCTCCTGTTACTTTCCGGAGATAAGTGTTGGTCTGAACACTGTCACCATCACTGAGAACAGAGTTCCCACACTGCAGGTCTAGGGATCGCTTGGCTGTGTTTGACTGTCTCCAGCAAGGTTCATCAAGACAAACCAAAGCCTTTGTGGAGAGTCACAGCCCATTTGGTTGCCACTTCCTTTCCATTTTGGATGTAGGATGCAGCATGATTTTTAGTTTCTTTATGCCATTCTTCCTGTGGACTTGCTACCAAGGAACTCACACACAGGAAGCTAATGCACGGGCCTCTGACTCACACATCTTGTCTTTCCTCGTATCCCCACTCACCCACGTGTCTTTCGGGAGCTCTTTTTTTTTGAGATGGATCTTGCTCTGTCACCCAGGCTGGAGTGCAGTGGTGCAATCTCTGCTCACTGTAACCTCCGCCTCCCAGGTTCAAACGATTCTCCTGCCTCAGCCTCCCAAGCAGATGAGATTACAGGCACCTGCCACCATACCCAGCTAATTTTTGTATTTTTAGTAAAGATGGGGTTTCACCATGTTGGCCAGGCTGGTCTCAAACTCCTGACCTCAGGCTATCCTTCCGCCTTGGCCTCCCAAAGTGCTGGGATTACAGGTGTGAGCCACCACGCCCGGCCTTGGGAGCTCATTTTGCAAGCTCTGGCTGTCCCTTCCCCATCTGCCTATTCATGGATACTCTGCTGGGCTACACCAGGGCCCTTCAAGGGGCATGGATGGACAGTGGGTGGTGGTGGAGGCAGTCCCCCTCCCACCCACCCCCACCCCCACCCAGCTCATTAATGTCCTTCCCCTCTTTTTATTGTAGCTCCCTCCCACCTCCATCCTTCCTTTTGCCAAGAAGTACAGATGGAGGAGATTCTCCTCAGAGTTTGGGGACTGGGAAGAATGAAGTTGTGGCTGTCAAAAATGCCTGGTGGACCTAGCGGATGACACCTAGACAGCATGTTTGCTGTTATCCTCTGTGCTGGCCAAGCGTCTCCTCTGCAGATGCATGTACACAAGCTGCTGAGGGATGGGGCGAGGCAGCTCGTGCATGTGCGCGTGAGGATTTGGGGGGTGAATGCAGAATCCCCCGCAAAGTGTCAGATTGTTCACTTTTCTATTTCCTCTCTTCCCTAGTAAAACCCCTCTGGATGAGAGCTAGCTCGAAACAGCACCTTGTTGGTTGAGATTTTGAGCAGTTAGCTGTCTCACTGACAGGGTCCTGCAAGGTGGGCATACTTGGCAGCCTGCAGAAGAGGTAGAATGTTTGCCCAACCCCACAGCTAGTAAACCCAGGACAAATGCATCGGCAGCTTCTCAGGGCCAGGGAGAGAGCACACATCTTGCCCTAGGAAATTCACAGACACGCTGACATTTGATGGGAACTGATCTAGCCAAATAGGAGGAGATCAACTGTTGGCTAGAATCAACAGATCTTCCTGTTTGGTGGCTCAGTATAATATCCTTGCCTCCTGGCACAATGCACCATGCTGGAGACTGCCATCAAGGAGAAGTTCTTTGCCTGCTCTCATTGACTTTTGAGCACTTTAAGCCTAAAGGGAGTGGGAACAAGCAGTGAGAGGAAAAGGTGAAGGTTAAAGGGAACTATTTTGGAGTTAATAAACTCCTGAATCCTGCCAAGGCTGGCTGCACTGTTCTCTCAGAGGGAGAAGAATATCAACATGGACTCCCGCCTGGGGTCTTGAAATAGGCAAGTCACCAAAGGACAAAGATTGTTCTGTGAGTTTGGGCTCCCCGGGGCAGCTGTTCCTGAGCTGTTACAATGGCCCTGGCGCCAGACACTGATTCAGAGTTTTGTGGGGGAGCCCAGGACAAATTCTCACTATTTAAATGAAGACAAGTCCAAGGCTGAATGCCCTGTCCATGCAAATGTCTGCCTGTTACATGAACAGGGAAGCAAAGTGCATTTCCAGGAGCCGCAGCAGAGAGCAGGTGACCGTCTCATGCTTCTCAGAGGAACCCTGCAGAACGCCAGCTGCTCCTGTGCTGGTTCCTTTTACGAACTTAGGAAAGATCATGTGTGGGGACAGGCAAGGAAGCACATGGCTAGGGCATTCTCAGGGAGCTAAAGTCACGCAGTACTGAGAAGCGTGGAAGGTGTAGTGGGACTCTGGGAAGACCAAGGAGGGTGTTGCGGGAACTCCCTAAAAGAGGGGTCCCTTTTTAAAGCTTAAGGGCCAAGTATCTGCCCAGCAACAGGGGGAGCTGAAGTTCCTCCCTAAGGTGGCTCTGATGACCAGCAGGATTTGGAAATGCCTGACCTCAATCCCATCCTCCATCCCCCGCAGTTCCCGCAGCACCCCTCCTTTGAGATTTCATCTCCCCTACAAGCAACTGTTTGCTGAGCATCACAAGTGCCAAATCCTGAGCGGCGTGTTTTACATACATTGGCTCATTCAATCCTAGGGACACCCAAAGAAGTAAGGGCTACGAGCTCCATTTTACAGACCAGGAACTGCCTAGCTGAGCTTTAATTTTTTGTTGTTTTTGTTTGTTTTTTGAGACAGGGTCTCAGTCTGTCACCCAGGCTGGAGTACAGTGGTGCAACCTTGGCTCACTGCGACCTCCATCTCCTCGGTTGAAGCGATTCTTGCCTAAGCCTCTGAGTAGCTGGGACTACAGGCACACACCACCAAGCCTGGCTAATGTTTGTATTTTTTTGGTAGAGATGGAGTTTTCACCATGTTGGCCAGGCTGGTCTCAAACTCCTGACCTCAAGTGATCTGCCCACCCTGGCCTCCCAAAGTGCTGGAATTTTGCAGCAAAAGGCGTGAGCCACCACGCCCGGCTACAAGACCTTTAGTTTTCATTGAAGCAGACTGGTGTGTCTACCAGTGTCCCAGGGACCTGCCACTGCAGATCTCAGGAGATTCCTCTAACACTTAGAGGGGCCACAAGCACTTGGGTCCCTCTCTGATTTCACCCTCACCCTAATCCTACCTACCCCAGGTGTCCATTTCTCCCAATCACTTTCTCAAAAGACTAAAAATATACAGCATTCCCCTTTCCCCTGGCTCTAAGTCCTGACCTTTTAAGGCCTCTGTTCAAGAGCATGTTAATTAGTAACTTCGTTCAGAAGAAATCTGGGAAAGCATTTCCCGGGCAGGGGCCCAGGGCCGGAGGGTATACCTGGCCTTTACTTTCTCTTGGCCTGAGGCTGGATTCTCATTAACCAGCCGGAGATTGAAGTCTTTTTTTTTTTTTCTTTCTGTGACATGTTTTATTTTCTCTTAAAATACCATATATATATATATATATTTATATATTTATTTGTTATTATTATACTTTAAGTTCTAGGGTACATGTGCATAACGTGCAGGTTTGTTACATATGTATACTTGTGCCATGTTGCTATGCTGCACCCATCAACTCGTCAGCACCCATCAACTCGTCATTTACTGTTTTTTTGTTTGTTTGTTTTCTCCCCAAATCTGAAGTCTCCAGCCCCAACTTCGCCCGTGTTCGGTCCAAAGGATGGACGTAGCTTCTCCAAACACAGACAAACAAGGCCAGGGCCGCCCAAGCATCCTGCACACATTCTCGGAGGGACGTGAGTAACCAGGTGAGGCTATGACCACGGGGCGGTGGACCCTACTGATCTCTCCCCAGTCGACCTACCCTTGGCACCTGATGCCATGGCCTAAGTTTTCCTTCTCTCGGCAGCTTTTCTTCCACAGATCAGGCATCAAGCTTGGCTCTGAGTCACTGAGGGCTGAGAGGCCATTACAAAGCCAAATACACGTGAATGCTACTGGAATGTTCTCCCCAAGCTCAACGTGGCTGCTTGCACTAGGCCCACAGGGTCAGACAAGCAACTTCGACAGACACCCAGATGCCTGCGAATGCAAGCAAACTACTCCTAGCGAGGGGAACCACATACCGACCAGCCAGCTCACTCAAGAAAAGGTATGAGCGAAAATACTGGCATTGGGCGGAAATGAAGAAATTGTTACAGAAAACCTGGACGGCCTCACCAAGGGGAAAAGGAAGGATAACGTGAGAGAATCCAACAACAGAAAGGAAGGACGCACCTCTCCTTTGGGCAGGATTTTCTGTTCATCTAGCTTGAAAGCTGTTCCTATTCTTCTCCGAACAATGGGTGGTTCCTCCCCTGGATCCAGGGGATATTCAACTGGCAGCTTGCCCGTGAGCTCCTGCATATGTGACATGGCATTCGGAGTGAGCATAAATCAGAGTAGGGTGGGTCGGTTTTCTAGAACACACACACAAACACACACACACACGCTCATACGCACACACAAATGCATGCATACACTTTGATACAGGTCAACGCCTATGCTAGAAACGTTCACATTAAGCACTTTGCCTAAATAAGATTTCCAGAAATGAAATTCCATTTCTCTAACCATGTCTCTTATGTAGAATAGTTGCACTTCCGAAGTTTTTTCCAAAGTAAATTTTTGTGAAGTAAACATAATTGCCATTTTGGCTTTCATGATAAAACTTGAATTGCATTCATTCGTTAATTGAACAAATATTTCCTGCCTGCCTCCTCTGCACCAGGCAAGGTCACCCAGCCAGTGAGGAGCAGCGTCATCGTGAGTTCTCGGGTCTCTCTAACTCCAAATCCCGTGCTCTTGACACTGCGTCAAATACCTAAGGTTAAAGTTTCCTTCAAATGAATTTTCACAAGAGGAGTGGTATCTACATGGCAAATCCCAGAAAAGTGCATATATAAATGATTGAGAAACCAAGTAAGGGTAGTAATCTACTCTGGCCAGATGCTACAGGCATAGGCTGTGCGTAAAAGACATTCAATTGCTTGGTTTAAAAGTTTTAGTAGAATGGCCGGGCATGGTAGCTCATGTCTGTAATCCTAGCACTTTGGGAGGCCGAGGTGGGCAGATCTTTTGAGATCAGGAGTTTGAGATCAGCCTGGCCAATGTGGTGAAACTCTGTTTCTACTAAAAGTACAAAAATTAGCTGGGCGTGGTGGTGAGCACCTGTAATCCCAGCTACCCGGGAGGCTGAGGCAGAAGAATCGCTTGAACCCGGGAGGCAGAGGTTGCAGTGAGCTGAGATCATGCCACTGCACTCCAGCCTGGGCAACAGATAGAGACTGTTTATTACAAAAAAAAAGTATAGTAGAAATTGAACATATAATCCAAGTCATTGACAAGGCTACTAAAAAAACACCTGTTTTGTATATTTTGGGCCCTGGAAATCTAACTGTTGTGGGTACAAGGACGGTGAATTTAGTTGACAGACTTTCATGGTGACAGTGATCCTGATGAAAGGCTAAGGATCTGGGGGTGATTTCAAGATTAGAATCAGGCTCTCTGTGCGTGAGTTGTATCAGGGCTGAACAATGATCAGAGTCAGCGGCGGCCCCGCGCTGCAGAGGCCAGGCATCAAATGCAAGAAGTCACTTCCAGGGACCAGAAAAAGCTGTGGGACCAACTGTGCATCTGTCGCCAGTGGCACAGTGGGCACTTCCAGGCCAAGCCCAGCTCTGGCTTTCTAGCCCAAATTAGCGCAGAACCTGCACAAAGACTCAAGGCGCTGCTCTGACAAGAAAGTTCAGAAGGCTCTTCTCAGGAATATCCATCATCCACACAGAAAGGTTTTGCGCAGGGCAGCCCAGGGCTGAGTGCCCAGCAGGCAGGAAAATCCAAATCATGAGAGTGATTCTGGCCCCTCTTCCCCAACTGCTGTGTGCTGAGTGTGCATGTGTGCACGCGTGTGTACGTGTGTGCGTACGTATGTGTGTGCATGTGACATGAGCATAAGCACGCATACTCCCTCACTCGCCTGCTTCTCCCTCGCTGTGTTCAGATCACCGGGAAATGAACCCGTGGGCTATATATTCCTCACTGTAAGCATTTCAGAGCACAATGGCCAACTATTTGAGTATCAAACTCTGCAATTTTCTTCCCTGCTTTTCTTCTTTAAAAAAAAAAAAAAATGTGGTTCAAATGTCTCCAAAGTAGTTAAGTGTTTATCCTGCAACTTTTTTTTTAAAATCTGCTTCCCTAAAAGTCTATCTATAAATAACACAACTATTGGGGGTTTTATATTGTCAGGACTTGATTTTTTTTTTTTTTTTTTTTTTTAACCTAGAAACTTCCAAAAAGGAGGGAAAAGTTGTTAAAATTGCCATGGATTTATAACTCTAAACTGTTTGTGGTTTTAAAATGTAGTTTAAAAAACGAGGCTACTGATTTTTTTTTCACCATCCACTTGAAGGTATTTGAGTCAAAGTCTTGATTCTCCAGATATTTAATCTGATTTCGTGTGTAACCAGAGCTGCATAGCGAAGAAGTAATTTAACACTCTGCAGTGGGGCCTCAGCTTGGTGCCTCCCTATATCCTGCCAAATGCTGTCCCCCTCCCTCATTTCAGTTGCCCCCTCCCCAGGGGTCAAACAGCGCTTCTTGATACTCTGAGCTGAGGGGAGAGATACAGGAACAGCACAGATTTACCAAGACTTCCCCCCAGCCCTTGACTACACATGCGTCAAGAGGCTATGGTGGGACTAACTACAGGGAATGATCACAGGAGAAATCTACCTGAAACTGACTTCTTGTTGGGTTATGTATTCCACTCAATTACATTTTCTGGTGTTAACATTATAAGAAGTGGCAGCTTTGTTTTCCTTCTTTTGCTTTTGTTTTTAAGAGCGATGGTGAGATTTTTTAATAACGCATGCTCATCTTGCCCTGACACGTTCCTTACATTTTCCAAACGTACATTCCCTGCCGGGTTTAGGGACTTTTTATTAGAAATAAAACAAGGCTTTCCAAATTATTAAAGGCAGACATCAAAACTCCTATTTTTTTTCCCCCAATCCTTCAAGCGTCTTCTTTCTAAAAACGTTGCTAATATTAACAGTATCACATAGCACCTTCTCCAGCCAGGCCCACTGCTTTCCTAAGATTTGCAATGGATTTGGACTAATGTGGTTCTGCTTTGAGCAGGCTCCAGTCTAAATCAATCCAGACCATAATTAGGCCAAGTTGAAATGTAATGTGATCTCACTCCACAGCCCCTTGTTTCATTCTTCCTGCTGCAAGGCCTTAGTGTTTGGGGGAGGGGTATACGTCTCTTTGACTTACTTTGGGAACCTCTTTTGACTTCCCATTCTCAACGGTTTACCAGCAAAGCTCTTTGTAAGGTTAGGTGGTGCATAGTCACTCCCGCCTTGGAGAGCTCCCACCCCATTGTGCCCATGTGCACAACGCACACACACACGCGCGCGCACAGACACACACGCGCGCGCACACACACACACAGTCATGTGTGTTGCATTAAAACATGAAACCTTCAAACACTTCTAACAGTCATGAAATAAACAGAAGAAGGTGGAAATGGATATTTAAATAAATATAGACAGCAGCTTGCAGCAACTTCTGTGAGACTAGCACATACATAGGGTCGAGAAAGCATTGCTTTGCTTTGCTTTTTTTTTTTTTTGAGACAAGGTCTTGCTCTGTCATCCAATCTGGAGTGCAATGGCATGATCATCGCTCACTGCAGCCTCAACCTTCCAGGCGCAGGTGATCCTCCTGCCCTACTCTCCTGAGTAGCTGAGACTACAGACACACACCACCACCTCTGGCTATCTGGCTATTTTTTTGTAGAGACAGGGTCTCACTATGTTGCCCAGGCTACTCTCTCGTCTCCACTGATCCTCCTGCCTCAGCCTCCCAAAGTGCTAGTATTACAGGAATGAGCAACTGCGCCCAGCCTGCATAAAATTTAAAAATGTCATTAGGCTAAGATTTCATTTTTTAAAATGAAAAGTTAAACACCAGATCACAGGGTCTAAAGGTGATGAAATATCAAGTGAGATCGTGGTTTCCTTGTTGACCACCAGCTGCTCAATAGGATGTCCAAAGACAAGTCTGAAATACCCTTAAGAACAAAAGCCACAACAATAAACTCAGGCACAAAATCTTGGGAAGATGGTGGCCAGCCCTTATAACCAATGAGGCACTGTCACGGGAGGAGATGCTTTATGAACTACCATGCAAGTATGAGGGATCATCATTAGGACTTGTCACTGGGACTCCCATGGGGTCCTATTTGGGATTCATACTGGTCGTCATAGTTCTTCGTCAACTAATTCTTTGATGGGTTTAGGGACTTTTTCTTTTATTGAAAACAAAACTAGGTTTTCCAAATAAATTAAAGGCCGACACCAAAACCCGTATTTTTCCCAACCCTTTAAGCATATTCTTTATAAAAAGTCGCTAATATTAACAGTACCACATAGCGCATTCCCCAGCCAGGCCAAACTGCTTTCGTAAGATTTGCAATGGATTTGGACTAATGTGGTTCTGCTCCAATTCTTTCTCTGACAAGGCACATGAGAGAAGTTTGGATGTTTCCAACATTTGTGTTTCAGGAGAGTGCTCGCCACCCAGATAGGCTCTCTTTTTATCACTACCCTTGCTTCTGTCAGAACGATCAAATGACATCGGTCAAATGACATCAAAAAGATCAAATGACATCACAAGACAACACCAATCTCAACGGGATGAGCTAGGAAAGGCTTACAGCTTCTCGGAGACACAGCTTCTTCAGTTCCTCCAGCCTCTGACGCAGGGTTTCCTCCAGAGCTTCCTGCCTGGACTTCAAGGCAGCCAGCATGTCCTTCTTGGCCGACTGCGAGCTATCTGATTCCTGAGAACCTGTCAATAAACAGTGGGGTTACTTGGCCAGCTGACAGGGGACACACATCTGGACCACTAATGAATTTAACTGGAGCCCACACTGCGGAGAGGGGATTTACCCCAGGAACCAAGGGAGTGTGAAATAAAACAGGTGCTCAGCGCTTTAACTGTGAGAAGCACATTCCAGCACTGCATGGAATTTATAGCTAGTCAGAAGAAACGGCAGGAAGATGGACCCTCCTGAAAAAGAAGTTTATCTTTCTCGATTATCTTAAGATATGTCACATACCTGCTTTAATTTTACTAGCAAATTCTAATAGACTTTACACAAGAAAGGGGGAAAGAAAAGCTCATGCCAGCAATTTTAATACATATTGAGTTATTTATCTTTTTTTTTTTTTGAGACAGTCTCACTCTGTCACCCAGGTTGGAGTACAGTGGCATGATCTTGGCTCACTGCAACCTCCACCTCCCAGGTTCAAGCGATCCTCATGCCTCAGCCTCCCGAGTAGCTGGAGTTACAGGCACCCGCCACCACACCAGGCTAATTTTTGTATTTTTAGCAGAGATGGGGTTTTGCCATGTTGGCCAGGCTGGTCTCGAACTCCTGACCTCAAGAGATCTGCCTGCCTCGGCCTCCCAAAGTGCTGGGATTCCAGGTGTGAGCCACTGTACCCAGCCCTGAAACATATTTAATATGTTATTTTGTTCACTTAAACATACTTATTATTTTTGCTTAATGCAAACATAATGTGTGTTTATCATAAAAACCCTGAAAATATAGACACGTGTAAAAAATAGTCCATTAACTAATCATCCAGAAATAACCATTGCTGTGCATTTTCTTTTGGCCTTTTTTCCTAAGCACATATATTTAAAAAATAAAATTAGAATGTTATTGTATTTTTTAACTTCATGTTTTGTGTCATGAGCAAATTCTCCTAACAAAAGTTATACATATTTTAACATGCTTTTCCTGGTTAAAGCATGATGATTCAAATAGCAGATTGCTAGATAGGAAACCTTTGTGGAAGGCAAACTTCAAACCAAACAAAAGGAAAATAAGCTGAAATGCCAACTGGAGGAATTTAGGTTAGACCAAAGGAGTAATTTCTGGGCTGCCAGTGTTTGGATTCTGAAATAAGTTTCCTGCAGTGAAGCTATTATACTTTCTCTACCTTGATGGGTTAGAAAAGGAACATTGACTCTCTACAAAGGGAAAATCTGATTATAATTTTTCTTTGCAAGCCCATCGTGAGCAGAAGTGTTAGAAATGGACAGGTGTTAGTCGGTGTGCATTCAAGAGGCTCACACCATGCCACTGACAACTGCATCAAAGAACTTCAAATACCTAGGGAGATTAATCTAATTAAAGATGAGTAAGATCTCTACCGCAAAAACTATCCCACTGCTGAGAAAAATTAAAGACCTAAATAAAGAGAGAGATACACTGTGATCAAGGATTAGAAGCTTGATGTTGTAAAGACGTCCATTCTCCATGAATTAAACAACAGAATCAATGCAATCCCAGTAAAACCTTGGTAGGACTTTTGGTAGGAAGGAGAAGAAATTATATTTCCATAGGAAACAATTGAATTTTTGGACAATTTTATAAACGGATGAGAGAATAATCCAATCAGAATTCCCAGAATCAACAGTTCTGTTTCTTCCAATGGTAGAAAAGGCATTGCAGCATCATAAGGCTAGAAAGAACTTTTGTCCCGTGACATCAAACAGCTCTGCTTCACTTAAATTGTCCCCATAAATATACTATTCTTCTATTTAACGTCTCTGAGTAGAAAACCCTGTATTCCATCAATTTCCATACGTACAGGCTCTTACAACCCCAATCATCAAGAACTCTCAATGTCTAAGAACATTCTGACTCTGACATGGGTTTTGTTCTTTCCTTCGCTTACTCAGTTCGAGCTTGAAATAGAGAACATATCTGTCACTGCAGAAACATACTATCTTTATGCCTCCAAAGCAGCTAACAAATATTAGCTTGAATGAGCAACCAAATACATGTTCACAGTCATATACTTGGATGCTGTAATTCAGTTGTATCTCCTCTTCATAACAAAAATCTAATACCTGTAAGTTGTTCCATTATGGAACCTACCTTCCACACTCTGAACTGTTTGTAGCTCTTCCCTGGATTTTGACATACTTCAGTTGCAGGTCTCCGAATGCAACTGGACACAAGAAAGCTTCATCCATGACCTCATGGTTCTCAAATACTAAATCCATAGAGTGTCACATTCATACAGCACATCGCTGGACATTATTGCAGGTTCCCCTTTTGGAAATGGTTTAGGTTTGCTCCCTCCACAAGCCAAT